ACTCCAGGCGCGCTCTTTTCATGGCCGTAAAAGCAGGGGCGGCGCGGGGCCGGCAGCACAAACGATGCAAAAGTTTCCGCCGGGAAAACGGGCGCGGCGTGGCGTCGACGCGGTGCACTACAGCACCGCCACCGCCAGGGCCGCGCCAGGGCCGCGCCAGGGCGACCGCACGTCCATCAACGCGATGCCGATAACCACGCCGTCAGCAACTTGGACTACTCGCGAAACCCCTTTGCCCATATTGGCATCTCCATCCGGGGCACGCCGCGCGCCGCGCCGCCACGCCACTGGCTCACGCACGCGTCACGCACGCGTCACAGACGCGTCACGCCGCGCCGCTGACGGCCGCGTGACGTCTTAATGGGTCCGGCCGACCTGGAATATTCAACACGGCCGCCGCTCAATCCGTCGCTCCGTCCCTCTCGCACCCCCGCGGCGCGCCCCGCGAGTGCGAGAGAGACGGAGCGAGGCAGACGCCAATCAGTCCCGCAGTCAATTAGAGGAGGAAAGAGTGAGGCTGAAAGCGAGCAGGAAGACACGCCCGTCAACCCGAACGCGTATCAATTCCATCCACCCTTTCAACGATTTTAATTTTCGATATCCGTGTGGTACTCCGTGCACGGGTCTTCTCCTGCTGTTCATCCACAGTCAACAACAACAACAGACGCCACTAGTGGTTCCGGGTTGCCGTTGGTTTCCGTTTCCCCTGGCTCCTGCACGGTCCCAGGACAGGAAGCCTCCCCGCCATGCCCGCCCGGGTGGAGCGCAAGGCGGTGGTGGCGACGGGGCATTCGCTTCGGTCACTCTGTCTCTCTCGCACCCGTCCTGAACGCCCTATGATTGCCAGAGAGAGAGACCGCGATGCGAAACTACCGTCCGGAATCACTCTGCAGGCGCGAAACGGGCGCGCAACGCCAGTTATCAATTCCATATTTTATCCAAATCCCGTTTCCGTTTTGGGGACCGTTTCCGGGTCCGGCACCGCGGTGCCAAGATAGCGACGGCGCGGCCGGGCGCGGCCTCCATCGGCTGTCAATGCGCGACCCCGCGGGGAGCGCCCCGCCCCGCCCCGCCCCGCCCCGCCCCGCACCCAAATTAATGCCGAGAGTTGCAATTTATCTCGCCCCGGGATGGCAATGAACGAGAGAGAGAGAGCGCTGCAGCAGTGGTAATGCAGTGCGCTACACTAGTGACACGCTACGCCGCATTCTACCCGCACCGCACTCCCATTCCTGTCGAAAAATGACGACCAAACCGCGAGAACGGCAACCACTGCTCACGCCCACTCTCTCTCTCTCTCTCTCTCTCTCTCTCTCTCTCTCTCTCTCTCTCTCTCTCTCTCTCTCTCTCTCTCTCTCTCTCACACACACACACACACGCACTCACACGCACTGATAATTGGTGAGTGATGGCGTTTTGTGTCCGTCATATTGGCCGCACTGCCGTACACACATGTATAGTGTAGTAGCGTTAGCGCGCGGCCAAAAGGACAGCCCGCCCGTAGATGCGGCAGCCAGCCAGCCCGCGTAGCCCGCGCCACTAGATCAACGACGCCATTGTGAAGCACTGAACCCAACAACAACAACACTAGGATTCAATGGGGAGGACTCCAGGACACCATCATGACGACGCATGGCGACGTATATGCAGCGACGGCGAGGACGGGCCGAGTATGTATCGACCGCGACGAGTGCCCGCCTACCACTCGCAAGGCACCTTCACACACACACACACACACACACACACACACACACACACACACACACACTCCTTCTCTCACACACTCTCACTCACGTCGCGCAGTGATTCGAGTGCCGTTTGCCATTATCGGCCGTCACGTGGCCTGGCGGTGGCGGTAACACAATCACGTCCTGGACGCCCCGCGCTCCGTCTCTCTCTCTCTCTCTCTCTCTCTCTCTCTCTCTCTCTCTCACACACTCGCGGGGCGCGCCCGGCGTGCCGTAGGGGTGCGAGAGAGACGACTGCTCTGAATCAGTCGGCGAAAGGCGGTGGCGGCGAGTCGTGCGCGGCGGACGGACGGGCGGGCAGGCGGACAGGCCGTCGAGGCGGCCCGCGAGGACAGGCGCGGCGGCGGTGACGGTGACGGTCCTGGCGGCGGTGGCGTGGCGTGCCCCGAAACTACGGTGCTAATAGTTGGCCAGTCTGCCGCCAGGGCGCGCCGATGAATGGATCCAATTTGGCTGTTCGAGGTTCGAGCACCGGCCAGCGCGGGCCGGCGTCCCGGAACCGGAACGAGGTCCGGAGGGAGGGGCGCGGTGCGGGGCCCTACAGTCACACAAGCGGTGCGGTGCGGGCTGTACCTGCAGCAGGCCGCTGCTCGCGCACTCGCGGCGTGCCGGAGCAGGCGAAGCAGGCGGCAAAGAACGCAGACAGCCCGCACGCGTTGTCTCGGTGCGCCCCGCCGCTCAAGCCGGCCTATCCGATTACGACTCTCAGAGGCCATCGGCGGCCATCGCAGCATTAGGCGCTCGGACGCCACCCCGCCCCGCCCCGCCCCGCCCCGCCGCGCTTCGACACTCCGGCACGGACTATCGCTCGAGCGATCGGCGCGCGGGCGCGCTGGCGGGCTCCAGTTCCAGGGCTTCCAGGAGGGCTTCCAGCGTGCTGACGTGCCCGAGTGCCGTGAGACGGACGGATCACCGCGCCGATACCGCGCATCGCAAGCAGGACGCGCAGCACGCGGCGCGACGCAGCGCCATCGAGAGCGTTATTTTCTTTTATTGATTTTGTCTAACGCGACGGCCCCTCCGCAGGGTTAGGGTTAGGCTGACCTACATTCCGCGCTGCGAGGCACCCACAAGGCCCCAAGACGCATCGGCAGCCCCACACTCGATTGTGTCCCGGAAGGCCCCGGCCCTACCGCCCCACAGTGGGCCAGAAGGCCGGTGGAGGCGGCCAAAATCCGGGACGCGTTTTGAGCTCCAGAGTCGCTGAACGGGACTCGAACCGAGCGTGTGACCCCACAAATGCATTGCTCTCCGAAAGAGGAATCCATTGGTGGGGTCACGCGCTCGGTTCGAGTCCCATTCAGCGACTATGGAGCTCAGAACGCATCTAGCGTTTTGGCCGCCTCCACCGGCCTTCTGGCCCACTGTGCGCCCTGGCCGCCCTGGCCGCCCTGTCGGCCTTGGAGATGGAGGGGATCTACGATGTCCTGCGGGATTCCCCACGCCCGTCTCCTCCCCCAGGCTCTGGCCGGGCTCTGGCCGGGCTCTGGCCGGGCTGCATTTCGGGACCGGTCAAGGGACCAGCAAAGGGGGCCGCGGCGGACGGACAGACAGACAGACAGACAGACAGACAGACAGACGAGGGCCGCGGGCGCAAAATCACGTACCACTCCAGCACTTTGCGCGCAGTTACGTTCCCCCTGCGAGCCCTGGAGCCCCATGAGCGGCCAAGAATCGCTTCAGCCCGACTCCGGACTCCAGACTCCAGGGCGGGCTGGCGGGCTCCCACAGACCCTGCGGCCCTGCGGCTGCGGGCCCGGGGGGCACATTCATTGCTCAGCTTCTGGAGGCTCCAGTTCCAGCGACTCCCAGTGACGCGACGCACACACTGCTGCGGTGCTGCGGTCGGGGCGCGCTGCTACGCGCTGCTCAGCGCCCTGGCTGGAGAGCACCCCCCCCCCCCCCCGCTGGGTCCTATCTTCCCTCCCACTCCCTCCTTCCCGATACAGATCAGTGACTGATTAACGCCCTTGTTCTGCCATTGTCCCCCCCTCTTCCCCCTCCAGCCTTTCTCTGCGTCTCTTCGGGGTGCTGGCATAATGAGGTACTTGGAACCCTCATGGGCGGGCAGCACGCTCGGCTGGACAGACACGAGGGCAGACAGACAGAGACAGACAGACAGACAGACAGACAGACAGACAGACAGACAGCTTGCACGCCCACCGGCACCCGATTCCAAGAAGCACGGCACTCGGCCCGATAACATTTTCTCTCCGGATTCGGCGTGTCGTCACTCAGACGCGAGTATTTTTTGTCCCCCCCCCCTCAAGCTTCCCGTTTCCCGACATCATTTTTCTATATTTCATTAATTTCGTAATATTTTTTTCCCACGAGGTTTCGTCGCGCGCGCGGATCTGAGTGGCGACGCGGATTGGGCGCGCGTGGGGCTTAATAAAAAGTCGACGCTTTCTTCACCGCCCTCGTGCCTGTCTGTCTGTCTGTCTGTCCGTCGGTCCGGCCGGCCGGCATGGGTGCGATGGCCCCGCCGGATAAGGCAAAGGCACCGGTGCCGTACCAGTGTGCCGCCCCGCCGCGGGTATCGGGGGAGCGAGTGGGTACAGTACCGCCGAGTATCGGAACCGAAGGCCACCGAGGACCGAAAGCAGGACGGCGGCAGCTAGCGGCAGCGCGCCGACGGAGTCTCTTCAGCCGCGTCAGTGCACCGCAGCCTCGCAGCCCCGGGCACACTCTCCACTGGAGTCTCCAGTCCACCCGCAGCGAGGCGGCATCCACCTTGCGCAGCGTACCCCTTTGAAGAGGACTCACCCGAAAGAGGAAACTCCGCGCCGAACCTCCGCGTCGCCCGAACGACGAGCGCCGCTCGGCTCGCGTCACGGCTTTCGTGCATTTCACGCACTGCCCGACCAATTTCTCATCCACGTCGTCGTGTGAGGCGGCGGCGGCGGCGTCCTCGCGGGGAGCCGCCAGCTCATTTCACGCCGGGTTACAGAAACAAATGTGAATGCCAAAACGAATCCGAACGCATTCTTCCCGCGTCGGGAGACGAGCCGTTCGGGTCGGCCCTTCGGGGCCTTCGGTTAGGTTCGGTGTTCGGTTCGGCCCGAGGCGTAGCGGCACCGACACGGACCCAAACGGGTCGGGGGGCTTAATTGAAAACAGAGTGGGTTTTAACTCGATACGGCGCGTTCCGCCACGCTGCCACTTAGCGACCGGGCGGCGGGGCGGCGGGGGTCGCCGTGCCAAACAGGACTTGGGAACAGTGAACGGCAAGGCGAGGGGTACTCTACTCACAGGTGTCGAAGGCGCCCACTCCGGCCAGGTAGGCGATGGCCAGCACTAGTCCCACCGGCCCCGCGGCACCGCCCGTCGGGGGCATCTCGCATGTGGCGTCAGCGGCGGGGGGCGGCGGGGGCGGCGCGGGGGCGGCGGCAGGGGCCCCGCATGAGCCGGGGGCTGGGCCGCCACAGCCTGCGAGCCTGCAACAGAAAGAGAAACCATTTTTCACGTCCAGTCCGTCTGACGCGGGCCGCGGCCCGCAGGTACGCCTGATGCACCTGCCCGACGAGGGGGCGGGCCGGGGTCCTGGCGGGGCCCTGGCGGGGCCTAGCCTTCCCGAGGCCTTTTTGCATAGGTAATGTCTGGCACGCCGGGCTGGGCCGGGCTCGCTCACACCCTCCCGCACCGCCAGCAGGGCTTGGGCAGGCCGGCAGGGACACTGACAGCGCCTTCCACGAATCTCAGGCCCGACTCTCTCGGGGTTATCATTATTGAAAACATTAAAAATTGGTCCTCGGCGCGGCGTTGACGTCCGCGATCCCATCGGACGCCTTGATTACGGAGCGGCACTCTTCGCCCCGGATCCTGATGACGAGAAACGCGGTCAAAAGAACCAAAGCAGCGTGGAAAACAAGAGAGCAGAAAACACCAGAAGGTACGAAAAACGAAACTTGCACGCTTAAAGCCTTACGAAGCATTTTGACCATACATAATACAAACTAATTTAGCTTGTTTACGAAGAAATAGTAAATTACGAAGTATTTTCTTTGTAAGTTAATGCATATGCTCAAAATACTTTGTTAGAACAAGGTACTTTTCTTTGTAAGGCCTAAAAAAAACTTGTTAGGTTTTCTCAGTGCGGAGGAGGCGCCTGGCCAGCGTGTTTTGCACGAGTAGATGCACCAGGATCGATTCGTGCCCCAGCGGGGGCTCCGCTGCCGAATCCTCTCCAGACAGACACTTTTTCCTCCCCCTCCCCCAAGCCTCAATATCGGCGCGGACCTTGGCCGTGTTTGCCACGCCTTATTGCCTCCACGACCGGAATTTCGCTGCGCCGCCTTTTCGCGACTGACCGGCCGCTCCGAAAACACAAACAAAGACAAACAACAAAAAAAGCACGGTCGCACTGGACTTGACTGACGCACATACTGGCACACCACCGTAAACCTCGGCGCCTCGGGAGACCGAGCGCCACGAGACGCGCTCCACCACTTCCATCCCACCACCACGGCGCGCTTCAGCGCTTCAGCGGTGCGGACAACAACAGCAAGAACAACGGCCGACAAGTCACACCTTCAACTAACTTATGATGAAGAGGAGGGCGTTTCAAGCCGGCAGTAGGTGCGCCCGTTAAGGAGCGCCCGCGGTGTGAGCAGCAGAGGAAGGGGGAAAGGGGGGGGGGGAACAGAGCCGTTCGAGAAAAAAACTTTTCCATCCACCCGCGCCAACGTGACCTGGACAGCCACTACACTTTCCCAGCTGAGTGGTACTTAAGAAATTGCCAAGTGGTGCTTAAAAATTTGTTAACTGGTACTTAAAATTGTCAAGTGAACCTTGAAAATTAGTTCTTGAGAAATTGCTAGTGTGCCGTGCGCTCGTGCCAAAACAGCAACTATTATTGAGACCGAATGTTATTGTGAAAATGTTGTCCTGCTGCAAGGTAGACCAACAATTAGCTTCGACTGTGTACACTATGGAGTTTGCAGTCGAAGTATCTACGAGCGTCCGCGCGCGCTCTGCTGCTGTGTGTGTGTGTGTGTGTGTTTGTGCGTGTGTGTGTTTGTGCGGTGTGTGTGTGTGTGTGTGTGTGTGTGTGTGTGTGTGTGTGAGGGGGCGCAAGCGAACTCAACAGGGGCGCGACCCCAATAATACGGCAGGTGCGCTAAGTCCCGAGGATCCAAGTCGCGCGCGCGCGTGTGTGTGTGTGTGTGTGTGTGTGGATCAACTTCTTCGCCACACATACAAGCGGCATGCGCGGCGCGCTTGTCTGTTCAACACAGTGTATGGGCGCGAATCTAGATGGGATAGGTACAGGTGCGGCATAGGCTGCTGGAGCCCACACCAAGTCCCCCCCCTCCCCCTCCAACCCTTAACCCAGAACCCCTCAGCGGGGCGGGGAGCGATCAGCACGAATCACGAAGACGGTGTCGAGTAGGGAGCTTGGCTTGGGACCGCGAGGGGCGCTATTGAAAACGCGCCAAGGGAGTCCAGGGCGAGGGGCGGGGGCGGGGGAAGACCAAAGGTGATATGATGGCATCCCGTCCCTTCTCGTCTCCCAGTGCCGAAACCACATCGGAAAAAAAGGTGCGGAGCCCCACCGACGGGAGAGGAGAGCGCAAAAAAAAAAAATGTGTGCGTGCGGAAAAGCGGGGGTGGCAGTGGAGGAGTCGTGTCGCTCGTCACGGGGATTCGATATCGAGGCATGATTAAATTCCGGGACACTCCTGGTTCGCGGTGCAGCCGCCAATGCGCGGGCTGAGTCATGTACAAGTGCGCCAAGTTTTGTTTTCATTTTCGTCCGGCCTGGAAACCGTGTCGCCCGCTTTTCCAGCTAGCTGTGTGTTTTACACGCACAACGGACTGCCCGCTGAGTGGGCAAGGTGGGCGGGGTGTAAAGCCACCGCAGCCTTCGTGAATGGCGCCGGGCCGAGCGCCCGGGTCAACACCCCCGTCAGCACCTCTACGAATCGCTACCCGCGCGGTGAGTACCGCGGACAAACGCTGTAAATAAAAAATGCGCGAGTGGGTTCTTTTTTTTTTACGTCCCCGACGTTTTTCAACCACTCTCTCTTTCACTGCGCCGCCGCATTTCCCCAACTACACTGTATGCCGCCCCCGCCAAACACACGCACACGCAGACACGCGCAGACACGCGCGCCCAGAGGCCCACACCGCATTAATAAATTCGATCGCCGGCGCTTGCTTTATTCATGACCGCGGGCCGGGCTGGCGGGGCTGGCAGGCAGCCGGGGCAGCCAGGGCTGGCAGCCAGGCTCCGGTGATTCGGTCCAGTTGGAGACCGAGTCCGGTCGCCAGGCTGGGGCCCTTGCTGGGGCCGGCCGGCCAGCCGCAGGGATGTTTGCAGGGGGCCGACCTATGCTGCCTTGATCGGATCGCAGTCCGGCCGACACGTCTCAAGACAGACAGACAGACAGACAGACAGACAGACAGACAGACAGACAGACAGTCAGACAGACAGACAGACAGACAGACAGACAGACAGACGGACAGATAGACAGACAGACAGACAGACAGACAGCGAACAACGAGTGCCCCCTTAAAAAGTGGGTACAGTATTCCATACGCGCGTCCGCGGTTTTTAAGCGCCCTTAACAAGGGTGGCGCTGCGGGCAGTGCATTAAGGGAGAGCGAAAATGGCGTCTACAGATATCGAGATTCGATCCGCGGAAGGAGGCTGGCGACACCGGCACGGCGGCAGCCGGCCTGAAAATAAGGCAGTCGGGGGAGTCGGGGCCGAGCAGGGCGAAGCAGGGGCGCTTTTTCCCGCGGAGGCCTGATTGGATCGCAGCCGTCCTCGTCGTCCTCGTCGTCCCGGTGCGGCGCCGACGACCGCCACGGCCAGCACGTCCAGGAGCAGCGCGGCTGGCGGGCGACATGGCGCGGCCAACAACGCGGACGACAAGCGATCATTTCCTCGTTTCGCCGCGGGGCAGCGCAGCGCAGTGTAGCGGCCCGGCGGCCAGCCACAGCGGCCAGCCAGCCGCCAGACGGGGTTGTCGCCCCGCCGCCGGCCGCCACCCCGCGGGACGGACGCTCTCCTTTATTTTAATTCCATTTTCCAGTGCGCTCCGTCATCATCAGCCTCATGATCCATCACCTTCGTATCACAACACGAAGCGTGGACCGCGTCCACCACGACGAGTGCCAGAGAGAGAGAGAGAGAGAGAGGGAGGGAGAGAGAGAGAGAGAGAGAGAGAGAGAGAGAGAGAGAGAGAGAGAGAGAGAGAGAGAGGAGAGGCAGAGGGCTCTTATTAGAATCCGACTAAAAGTCAAAACGGGACGCAGTATCCGGACGCGGGGGGAGGGGGAGGGGGCGCAAACTCGCCGGCGAAATCGAGTCCACCGGAACTCGCCCGAGTGTCTGCGCCCTCTCTATTTTTCTATTTTCCTCGTCTCGGGGCGAAACGCGGCGGCGGAACGCGGAACAGTATCGGCATCGACCGAAGACGAAGTCCGCGCCAGCTGCAGCCGGGCCAGCCGGGCCGGTCCGGCCAGCGCACAGGACGGACTGATCAATGCCGGTGCACTGGGCTGGCGGCTGGCGGCGTGCTCCGCGTGACCAGGATCACGAAGTGGCGTCGCCGGCCAGCACCAAGGCCGCCAGCGCCGCCAGCCACTTTGTCGGCCACGACGGCTTGCCTGGGCTTGCCTCGCCGCGCTCGCCGCCACCCAAACCGCGCCCCCCTCCCCCTTCCTCCGGGGAACTGCAATATCCCTTCACGGCTGGCAAGTTTCGGGACCGCAACCCGCACCGGGCCTGCCCGGCCCCTCAGTGGACGCCGCCCTGCCGTGCCGTGCCGCGCCGCGCCCCCCACATCGCGTCACCCGCCAAGTTTTACCCCTCTGTGTGTTTGCGGGCCGCGGTGCCGCGGAGCTGACGTCGCAAAGGGACGCCCTGGGAGTCGCACTGAAAAGCCAGTTCAGGTAACGTCACACAGCAGCGCGGGCGGGTCGCTCCGTCTCTCTCGCACTCGTGGGGCGTGCCGGGGCGTACCACGGCGTGCCGCGGGGGTGCGAGAGAGAGCGCCGCCCCGGATTGTTTCCTTCTTCGGGCCGCCAAGTTGGCCGCCGTGCCGATGCCATTGTGCCCATTCGCGGCCCTACAATGGCAAAGGCGGTGCTAGCCTCGCTGTGCTGAGAGGCTCGCTGCGAGGCTAGCAGCGAGCGGCTAGCGAGCGCCAAAGCAGTGTGCATACAACAACACTCAGTGCGCCAAAGGTTTCGCAGCCATACATCACAAGGCTCGCTCAGACCAGTCTCAGCCCTCGCCCCGCCCTCGCCCGGACCGTCCCGTCTCGCCCCGCCACCGCAAAGCCACGCCATGCGGGCTTTCAGGGTAATCACCCCTACACTGCCCTAAAACGCGTCGCCAAA